TGTGTGCATTTGTAATTGTTGAGAGCTGCACAGAGAGCCCAACAGACTGAGGCTGTCATTATTTTCTGTAACATTTAGCGAAATCATTAATAATTGTTGCCGCTGGCTGCCGCGACACAGATACGCACTTAAAAATGCTCAAAAAATTGTCAGACGACAACGACAGCGATTTGGTGTTAACTTGATTAGCATTCGCATAAATTTTTGCAGTTTTTTCAGTTGCATCTCGCGACTGCGATTTGCATAGAATGCCCATTTCTGGGGCCCCCAAAAGCTATCTTAGATGGGGGAATGGGAATAACCCATCGGACGGATAACCATCTCCGAGTTAGATGGAATTCGATGGCGGTGGCCCTGTCCCCAATTCCCCCTGGGCTGAGGAGGAGATTTCAATTATGCTCGGGCATTATGCAAACAACAAAATAAATGTCGAGGCGATAAGCGGGAAAAGCCAAAGGAAATTATGAAAATACATTTCCCAGAATGTGTACGTAGACAAAACAAATTGCCGCGTAATCTTTGGGTTTCGAAAAAACGAAATAGAACTCCAGGTTGACAATAACAGCCACAAATAAATCGGAATCATTATGGGAACTTGTTTTATCCTTTTTGGAATACCCTGTAGTTTGATGGTAAGGGTAATACAGTTTCAAATGCAATCTGGAAAATAATAAAAACTCTAAGGACATTTTTTTATTAAAGATTTAACACATTAAACAAGATCTAAACTTGATTTAAAACTATACAAAGCTTAGTAAAAAATATTATAGTAATAAAAAATAAAAAAGAAGTCTCAATATCTTATATATTTACTTATTTTTATACCCTTGCAGGGTATTATAATTTTAATCAGAAGCTCGAAATACATTGAAGGAGTCATTTCCGACCCTATAAATCATATATATTCTTGATCAGCATTGACAGGCGCAACTTCTAGCCAGGTACTACAGAAATAAAAATTTTAACGATTTTTTCAAAATTTTATAAAGGGTTACATCATCAAATTTTTCAAAAATCTAAAAAAATTTTAATTTTTTTAAATATTAAATGTAGTATACAGATTTGTTAACCTTATGAAAACTAGCAAAGAAAAGCTTTCCAAATCAAAATTAATCCATTTTTGGCTTAGTTATGATTGATTTTCATGTTCCAAATTCAGTTTTCTAAACGTATTCTCCCTTTTTTATATTATTAATATTTTTTGTAATTTTTAAAAATATATTTTAAGCAAAATACCAGGTAATACCTAGTCCATGCACTCAACCAAAACGATCTTACTTGTTTTCTCTCTTTTTTATCGGCAAGTGCCGCCAAGTGGAATCAATCAAGTGGAGAGAACCATTTCCTTGGAGACACTCGGCCGTGTTCACCTCATTTTACTCATTTTATTCAGATTCCGAAGCGTGACAATATTTTGGCCACAATTCAACCGAACTGATCTCAAGGGTCTTCGGTGCGTAATTAATCATGTCGACTTGGACGATAAGTTCTGCTCGGTCGAGTGCAGTGAATTTTTTTTGGTAGGGTGAGTCCTCTCTTCCTCCAGGGGCCTCGAAGGTAAGATACAACAGGTAGTTCACAGGTAGGGTAGATCTTTGTGTGAGGTTTCCAGGCATCCATAAATCTGAGAGAGATATCGCTTGCAGGGAAATCAATAAGTCTGCGCCAGGACATTCGCTCTTCCCATTTGAATATTTATGGGGAATTGTACAGATTTCGACATAAAAGCGCCAAAATTGATACATTACAGGTACAAAAGAGGGGATATTTAAGGGGAAAAGAAAGAGTAAGAACACAGGATCAAGAGATGTATATCTTTGGGGGGAAGTAAGGGGTTTAAAGGGATTTTAGAGATATAAAATGATAGGGTATATAATATCTAGAAGTTTATACCAATTTAAATAAAATAAATTAGCAAAAATACCCCTCATGATTCTCAAGTATCTACCTTAAAAACTTCTCCTTCTGTCTCAAAATAAGAGTTACAAATTGCCTGGCATTTGTCAAGCCCGCAAATGGAGTCAAGTACAGACTTGGAAATGTATCTTTGGCATATATCGCACGGATGCCACGTAAGACTGGCAGCTGGAGAGCAAACAAAAGCGCGAAAACAAACAATGGGGAACACGCGAGGGGGAACAAGATTCAAAAGTGTATCTGCCAGTGTATCTTGGCTTGTTTATCTGCCAATGTCTCGTCTGCTGTGTGGCATTAATGGCAAATTTGCACGAAGTCAATATCGACAAAAAAACAGAGGGTATTGTCAATTATCAATAGAGTCGAATGTATTTGCACGCAGCTCTTTAAGCAGAAGATACTTTTGTATCTCAAGATACTTTTTAATCTATTCACAAGAGTTTAGAAACCTCAACCCTGAAATTCGGTTACAAATGAAGTCTTTAACTTTATTTTAAATTTCTGTGTATATATTTTATGTTTTTTGCTTATCTGTCTACCACTTCACCTGCCTTGTTGTGGTGTTTTTTGTTTTTCTAGTGGCTGCCACTGGGCACTAAGCCAGCTCTGTCTCTGTCCCGCCAGCTAGTGGCCTCTCTGTCGCTCGTTGTATCTTGTATCTGGTATCTCGCGCTCTCCGTCGAGCACTGCCATTGGCTGGCTTTTGAGTCTGCGCTGTTGGTTTTTTTTTGTAGAGAGGCCACACCTCTATTAACTCTTCGCCCCCCGCCATCTCACCTGGCAGAAAAAAAACTACGTTTGCGTGTTATTTCAGATACTTTCCCCCCCTGAAAAACATAAACTTCGGCTCCCTAATGGCCAGAGACAGAAAAAAAGGCATTGGGATGAGTCAAAATGAAAATGGCTTTTATGTGTGGCGTGCGTTGGGGTAATTTTATGATTCAAGGGAATTACACACTGGGCAGGCACCTCCTGCTGCCCCCCCGAAACTGGAATATGTAGATACACAGATATGTTTTAATTGTCGCTTTATTGATTTCCCTCCAAGGAAAGCACCTAAGCTGGCTTAATTTATGCTTTAATTCTATTTAATTATGCTTTTTTCGCCAGCTTAGATACCGATCTAAAACGGCGGGGGTTCCCGTAAAAGTTTCGCGTGTTATTTCCTTTATATTTTCTGTACGGAAAATATCTGAAATGTGTCAAACCTAATGGATGGCGGCAGTAAAGTCGATTTAAGGGCGGTAGTTTTCCTTGGATTATGTTTAGTGTTTCGTTTTCTGATTTATAGCCATTCTAAGGAAGATTTGGTTTGAGTTTTAAATGGTTTGAGGTTTAGGAGGTTTTATTTTTTTATGTATAGAAATTCTTTTAATATGGCTTGAAAATTTATATTTGTTTTAATAGAATTAGATTTCATTTAAGACCATTTTAAATATATTCTAAAATTTAATTTTTGTATCAATTATATTTTATATCTTATATCCTTAAATATTGGGATTTTTTTTTTAAGATTTCAGCTTATAACATTAAAATTGATAAGGTACAACTTTTTTAAGAGAATTTTTTAATTGTATTAATTAAATATATAAATTTAATAAAATTTAGAAATTTAATTTATTATTCTAAACGTAAGATATTATACATAAAAATATATTTATGTTTTATTCCATTTTAATTTTATCACTTTATTAATTCTTTTTCAAGTTTTATATTGTTTTTATATTTTTTCTCTGATTTTTATTAAATTACCAATAAGAAATAATTGAATAAATTATCATTGTAAATGTTACCTTTAACTTTGACAAGTTTAATTGTTTCCTTAATAATTTCAACTCTTAAACTTTACTGAAACAATTATGTGTATTTCTCTAAAAAATAAGTTTGAACTAAATTCTATTATAAAAAGCCTTACTATAATATTCCTCCTACCCTTCATCCTCTTTCCTTTCCTTTAAGGGGGGATATACATGTAAGCGGTCAAAATTTGGCCATTTTTCGTGAATTTTTTTTTATAAGAAATAGTCAAGCAATCGTCGTGAAACTTTGGATATAGTTAAAAGTAGAATCAGAGATGATAAAAAAAATTAGTTATAAACAATATTTTACAAAATGGCGGATTTATGGAACATATGCCGTAGCGCCTCGAGCTTTGAGTTGCCGGGCTATGGACACGATAGAGCTCGTAATTCCTGTCCAAAATCCGTAAACTAAATTTTTTTCTATTCATTACACCTGTATCTTCTATTTGAACCTAAAAAACCAAAAAGAAATCAAGACAAAAAAATTAAATTTTGATTTGAAGGAAAAAATGCCATTTTGAGGTGATCAGTTTTCACTTCCCACCCTCTTAAGAAATAGTAATACTCAGTTTTATAACAACCATGTAGGTTCAAATAGAAGATAATTTCATGCTGATCATAATAAAATTTGATTCACTCCGATATGTTACGTAGTTTTTTGTGAATCGTGTCCATAGCATAGGTAGAAATGCAAGAATTTAAAGCTGAGAAAAAGACGTTTAAAGTTTTTGATGCGCCCACGTTTACACTTGTATACCTTGCGTTCATACTTGATTTGAGGTACTTAAAGTTGGAATTCGATGATGAAACTTACACAGTATATTCTTTAAGTAATAAACTATTTTTTAAACAAAAAAAAAAATTTCCCAAAAAAATTTTGGTTTACATGTATATCCCCCCTTAATTATATACCTCCTCAACCCATAACCTCCTCCACCGGTGATCAAATCTAAAATGGCGAATCCCAGACGTTTCATTCAATTAAAATCGATCGCCACTCTTATACCCGCAACACCTCCAATAAGATCACCTGGCCGAGAGGGTTTTGTGTGTGTTTTTTATAAGAGCCGCCGAGATCGGCCGAGTCTAGCGTAGACAGATACCAAATGAGAGAGTAACACCTGGTGCCAGTGACCAGGTGAGCGAGAGAGAGACCCCCGAAGCGGCTGCCGGGCAGGCAGGGGAGGGTTAAACGTTAAGCTGACTGGCTTTTTGAGGTTTTCGAGGCTCGTCTGCGCGCAAGCCGCGCTCGTCCAATCAGTACGAACTCGGGTCCCGCCAGCGCAGTGACGACTTTGCCGACGAGCGCGTAAAAAGCCTAAATAAATTAAATAAAAAATTGTAAATTTAAATGCAAATTACCACCGCAAGTGCCTTAACATATATATCGTATCGTATTGTATCTTTAGTATTATTCCCTCGAATTTACTGCCCTGAGAAACACGAGATACAAAACGCAAAAAAAAAGCGAAAGCCAAAACAAGTCGCAAGCAGCCGCTCATCGAATGCGGAAGTGTGAGCGAATGCCGGCGGCTTTCGATAATAATTTAATTTGCAATTAACGCAAAGGATTCGCAAAACAAATAACAACAAAATAAAATGCTAAACGATTGCCATTGTTGAGTATTGTGCAAACAAAGGGGTAACAAAAGAGTGGAAGAAAGTGATCGAGTGCCTTCATTTGCATATCCTTGCAAATTATTGAAATTATTAAAATCGCAACAACAAAAAAAGTAATTGAATAATAAGAGAACGTGCAGCAATGCCTGCTGTCGATGTTCCCAGTGCCATGTCAAGCTAAAGTATTCAATAATAATCCCCGAAAATTGATTAATCACTGTTGTGCCTTGAACTGATCGTCGTGACTCGTGAGTCAGAGAGCAAATAATAAAAGTACGCAAATTGCCGGTTTCAATATTTATCTCTGCCTATCAATAAAAAATATATCATATATTTCTCTCCGTGTAATCGGTGGGAGCCTGTGGTATCTTCTGTGGCCTCTGTAGAGGCTTTTCCCCTCAACCCTTCATGAGATAAACGCCGCTTAAATGCATACGGATATCATAATTGGTGATCAATTTGCCGCCAACAATAATTACTGGGTGATGCAGGTGAGTCCTTGGACTAAAATCTGATAAATTACTTAGTGATTAGCACAGAAATAGTGAGTAAGCTGACTTAACAAAAGAGTAAAATTAATAAATTTTGATTTTAAAAACTAGATATTAAAGTGTGTCACTGCAGAAATTTCAAGGCTTTTCAGAGTTTTAAAATTCTAATAAAATGCAAATAGGATTTATTATAAATATCAGAAAACATATATCAATATATCGACTTTTTACCAAAAGTTTAGTTCTTTAAATGTAATCCCTTTCCCCATCACCTGCTCCTTCCTCAAACTTTCAAGTCTTTAAAAATTACTGCCCATAATTATAAACAAAATGCGGTAATTAAGGGGGGATATACATGTAAGCGGTCAAAATTTGGCCATTTTTCGTGAATTTTTTTTTATAAGAAATAGTCAAGCAATCGTCGTGAAACTTTGGATATAGTTAAAAGTAGAATCAGAGATGATAAAAAAAATTCGTAATAAACAATATTTTACAAAATTGCGGACTTATGGAACATATGCCGTAGCGCCTCGAGCTTTGAGTTGGCGTGCTATGGACACGATAGAGCTCGTAATTCCTGTCCGAAATCCGTAAACTAAATTTTTTTGTATTCATTACACCTTTATCTTCTATTTGAACCTAAAAAACCAAAAAGAAATCAAGACAAAAAAAATAAATTTTGATTTGAAGGAAAGATGTCATTTTCAGGTGATCAGTTTTCACTTCCCACCCTCTTAAAAAATAGTAATACTCAGTTTTATAACAACCATGTAGGTTCAAATAGAAGATAATTTCATGCTGATCATAATAATTTTTGATTCACTCCGATATGTTACATAGTTTTTTGTGAATCGTGTCCAGAGCATAGGTAGAAATGCAAAAATTAGAAGCTGAGAAAAAGACGTTTAAAGTTTTTGATGAGCCCACGTTAACACTTGTGAACCTTGCGTGTATATTTGATTTGAGGCATTTAAAGTTGGAATTCGATAATGAAACTTACACACTATATTCTTTAAATAATAAACTATTTTTTAAACCAAAAAAAAAATTTACCAAAAAAATGCTGGTTTACATGTATATCCCCCCTTAAACCCCTTTTATTGCAAATTAATTTAAGCCAAATTTTTGACAAACAATGCGATATACTAATGCCAATTTAAATCACTTGAAAAATCACCTCATGATCCCAAAGCAACAACTTCCGCTTATCAAAATGCAAATCTTGAACTGGCCAGATTTTTGTCGAATTTTCGTCTCTGATTTTCGATTTTTGAGTACGAGTATAAATAAAACGCACGCGGCAAACGCAAATTACAATAAAATCCGAAAACAAATTGGCTCCGATTATCGATATCTGATGAGATGATGAGAGACGACATGGAGTTTGTGTGTGTTCTTCGAGAGTGTGTGTTTTCACAGAGATTAACACCTCGGATTGATTGCCTCAGGTGTCCCTTTTGGGTTTTTTTTTAATTCCGTTTCTGGTTGTTTTGGTGATCATAATTTTTGTATTTACACGGAAGGAAATTAGGTAAAAGGTGGAATTTTATATACTTTATAAGGAAAAATTTTCAGGAAACATATTTTTATTCCAAAATTCTAAATTTCTTAAAAATTATTAAAGATATTTTAAGGCTCTCTTATAATCCATTAATTGTTTATTCAATTAATCTAAGAGAGACGGAGATTTATTTTATTTTATTTTTTTATTAACTCTACAAAATTGATAAAAATTATCTAAAAATATTTGGAGCCTCTCTCATTGTAAATTAAATTTTCATTTATTTAATTTTAAAATTATTTAAGGTTTCTGCTTATTTATTTAATTTTAATTTAGTTTTATAGAGTTCTTAAAAAATTCTAAAAAATCCAAAAAATATTATATATTTTCTCTCTCTGCTCTTTTTATTTACCAAAACCGGCAATCGATTTGTAAATCTCGTTATCACCTGCAGGAACTCTTCGTTACTTTAAGCCGTTTTCAAACACGGTCGGTTAACTCTTTTGAACTTGTTTCGAATGCACTTTTCACGCGTTCCTTTCCGCAGGGAAACTGTAGCGATCCTCTACATATTTTTCCTTCTTTTTTTTTCTCTCTTTAGTTTTTGGCTGGCAAATGTTTGCCAGGCTGTTTTCCTGTCCTCCGTCGCCGGTTGGGGTTTTTGTTTGCCTCAATTGTTTGACTCGCGCTTACTTGCGAAGCTCTGTGTCAATATTTGTGCACAACACTTTGCCAATGTGCCAAGTGTCGTCTTGTTTCGTTACGTTTCGTCTCGGTCCCAGCTGATGAGTGGCTTTCGTCACCAAGGCAACCCACCTGCGACACACTATCGTGATCGTGGCTTATGATGTACAGAGCTCTCTGATGGATAGTGGTGTCCATTGGATACTATAAATACGCATGAGTAACATCACATTCTAGGGAATATCGCTGTTTATCCTGGGTATTAATATGCGGCTAAAAGTCAACAATCGATTTTATGTACTGGAACTTATCGATGAGGTGAGGAGGAGTGTTGCCCTTTTTATACCCTTGATGGGTGTTATAATTTGAGCCAGAAGTTTGTTAAGAAGTGAAGGAGTCATTTCCGACCACATAACCTAATGTTCTATGAACTTAAACATTAAAAAACAGAAATTAATATTTTAAAAATAACCTACAGTTCTTAGAATAAAGAAAGAATTTATAATTTAATAAAGAATTTCTGTTTGTTATAAAAATCATTATAAAATACATCTACAAGACTTATAATACGATATTCCCGTTCTAAAATTTTATAAAATCATTAACTTAATCTTCCAAAAACTTTCCTATAACTCCCTTCCCATGCTTATCACCTAAAGTTTATGTTTTTATACCAAGAAACCTTCTAGTCTTACGTCCATTGATAAGTCTCTAGTTTCCTCCATGTCTAGCCTTACTCAACAAAGTTCTTTGGAGGAATACTTCCTTCCAAGCGAGAGATAAGAGCATTTCTAGACCTAAAGATATATGTACGAGTGGGACGTGAGTATGAAGAAACCTGAAGAAACCCAGGGCGACATTGGCGATTCCGGGGAAAAGGCATCGTAAAAGACAAGTGTTGTTGTGTGCTTGTTCCGCCTGTCACCATCAATAGCTGCACTAATTAGGCATGTGTTGTCAAATATTTACACACAGTCGCAAAAGTACAAAGCGCTATCCACCTCTCTCTGTGCCACAGTTTGAAGAGGGGGCGGAGCTTCTTCCGTTTTCCACTGATTTAGCAGATACCAAGAGATATGGCAGGGTGATTCCCACGACTCACAGCGATTATGACGAAAAACTTTCATATTTTATGGCTCAGAACGAAATTAGTTTACGATCGCTTACAGGGAATTAGCGAGCTAATTGTACAGATGATGACGATATTACGGAAAAGATCGATAACGCGATTTAAAACGTGACGTTCTTGCAAAATATCGGGTATGTGGGATAGATATCAGGTGATAACTACTCAATATTGATGTATAATTTTCTCTTATCAGTTATTAAAAGTCATAATTCAGTTGAGATGCAATAGAAAATATATTCCTGAACATTTATATAGCTCTGATTACTTCGATATACGATTAAAAACGATATATTTGTCAATAAATAATATAAAGATTTTATAAAGAATCTTATCTTTTATATAAGCTATAATTCTGTTGAGATATTATAATATATATATTTGTGAACACTTGATGAATGCGATTACTGCGATATATTATCTTAAAATTTTTCGATAAATAATATAAAGCTTTTATTATGCATCTTATCGGTGTTATTATAAGTTATAGCTCAGTTATAATATAATAAAGGTATTTATAAACGTTTATATCGCTTTGATTACATCGATAGATTATTTTAAAACTATAATATTTATCGATAATCATTACAAAGCCTCTATTATGCTTCAAAAACCCGTCCGTATGGGTACAGTAATGTGAGTAATGAAACTAATCAAGCACGTAGGCACTCGGTTATAGCCCCGGACTTTTGCAGCTCTGATTAATGGCCCTGAACCATTGTGCTTCAATCGTAAATAATTAAATATAGATAAAAATCGGATAACTCATATGTTGCGAGGTCTGTCAGCACGCGGCTGAGATTTATGCAAATTATATTAGGGGGACTAAACTTTGCAGTCGGCCGAGTGATTTGTCAAGAGAGCAGATTGTATACAAAATGTACGAAATAAATGCTATATGGCTGCACATATATGGTCTATCAATGCGAATAGGAAAATATTTGCATTTGCAAATCGCAATCAGACAAAGGCGGCCGCCTTCAAAGAGAGGAATCGTTGCTGAAATTTAACAAGAATTGCAGATACGAGGATACAAATAACCCGACTGTCTGTCTGTCTGTCTTTCGCCGTTCATCTGAGCCATAAAAAATCGTGGCAAATTAGATAGAAAACGGCCAAATAATAATGGGCCGATAAGATAATGATGCGAAATGTTCGTGTCCCTCGTTGACTTTCCATTTCGGAATGAGTTCAAGATTGGATCGAACTTTGAAACAAAACACTGAATGCCAATTACACACCGCCGCCGCCGCCGCCCAGACAATAACAGTTAAATAATAACTGGAGTAAGCCATGAAAACAGTTTGCCAAAATCTCATTAAGGCCCAGTGGGAGATCTTCTGCGAATGGATAGATCAACCGATCGATTCGATCGATCGATGGATCGATCGATTCCTATGCAAATCCCCCCATTGGTAATTTCGGTTTCCTCAATCACAATGACCAGACTTTAGTTTTCTAGTCTTTGCCATATTTCGGTTGCTGTTTTTTTTTTTTTACTTTTTATTTCATTTTGGGTTTTTGGCAATTCATGCAAATGAAAACGAAAACTGGCACACAAATAAACAAAACAAAAAATGCGCCAAAAATGGCACACAGCTCGGGCGGAGAGTAAAAAATAAAATCATTTATTTGCAGGCAATTTTGATTGATTCGCCGCCTGGCCAACTTGGAGGTCACACCAGGCCA